CATAAACACTACAAAAATTATCATATTTCTTGAAAATTTGATCCAACTTTCTTTGAAAGATCGAATGAGCATTTTTAAGTCCAAATGGCATAACAAGCCACTCAAAATGTCCTTCTGGACGTAAAAGTTGTCCACTCAATTGATTCTTTTACTAATCTTATTTGTCAAAACCCTGATTTGCAATCAAATTTACTAAAATATTTACTCTCTTGAATTTTATTTATAAGATCATCCTTATTTGGTAACTTATAACTATCTTCATATGTATTATCATTTAATCTCTTGTAATTATAAACTATTATAGCCTTACCTCTCTTTAGTTCTGAATGTTTTCTTACAATAAATGCTGCCGATCTATGTCTAGACTTAGAGTGTCTAATTACTTTTAAATTTAACAACTCTTTTATTTGTTGCTCAAACTCTTGTTTATCTATTAAATTACAAGGCATATCAGCCGTCTTAATGGTTAAATCTGGATTAATTATATCTAATTTTGCTAGAATTTTATTTTTACTCCAATGTAACTGTAGGTCTTCTCCTATAATCCTAGTTTGTTCTGCTAATTGTAACAATTCTTCTAAACTCTTTGGTCTATCTAGCTGTAATATTTCTATACATGTTCCTTCTTCTAAGATCGGGTATTCATGTTCAAATATGTCTTCATCAAACTCTTCTACGTTATTATGCTCATCATTTTCTTTTGAGTTTTCTAAATAATAACTATCTTGGTCACTAAGCTCTTCTATACTTATGATTTTGTATGCTTCTTCAGTATTAATTTGGTCAGTTATTGTAATGCCTCTTTTAAAAAAATTTATGTTAGGGTTCATAAATAAAAAACCTTGCAAACTTTTCAAAAAGTTTAAACCTAAAATAAATGGATATGATCCTACTGGTGAAACAAATGTTAATGGTAAATTAAATTGTTGTTTTTCTACTTTAATAAACTCATTATTTATACAATGTGTTAAGTAAACTGGTCTCTCATCAAATTGTGTTATTCTTACTGGTTTTGCTAATTTTTGTTTATATTTTTCTTGTACTAACTATTCTCTTATGACACTCTTTGTACTCCTTGTATCTATCATAACTATCGTTTGTATCTTATGTTCTTTTGCTAATTCTATTTCGCAATTTATGGTAATTAAAGAACTATTTTTTTGTTTTTCTATACTATGAACAATATTTCCTTATATTATATGTAGATACAGGAAGTACAAAGAGTGTCATAAGAGAAGAGTTAGTACAAGAAAAATATAAACAAAAATTAGCAAAACCAGTAAGAATAACACAATTTGATGAGAGACCAGTTTACTTAACACATTGTATAAATAATGAGTTTATTAAAGTAGAAAAACAACAATTTAATTTACCATTAACATTTGTTTCACCAGTAGGATCATATCCATTTATTTTAGGTTTAAACTTTTTGAAAAGTTTGCAAGGTTTTTATTTATGAATTACTAAAATCTAACATTAATGCTGCATGTACGCAGCCTTTTTCTCATCTCTCAATCGTTCTTTCTCAAACTTGTGGATCTACATTATTTAAATTTAATATATTACCAGCTATATTAATTTGTTCTAACCCTCTCAAATATGGGATCCTATTTTTTCTAGGATTTATCATACTTTCTTCCATATAGTCTACTTTTGCATTTTCATTATATTGTTCATTTGTTGGTCTCAAAAATTGTTGATCAGTTCTACTTGCGTGTCCTAGATTTTCTACTCCTGATGTACCACTTTCTTCTACTGGATTACATTCTGCTTTCAATTCTAATAAAGTATTGTATTCTTTTGATCCTAAAATATGTTCTACTCCTATTTCTAAGATTAAATTTTCATTTCTTTGTCTGAAATTTTATGTAGTCCCAAATCATATGTCTTATATTTTTCCAAATATTGTTCTTCATCTAAATGATCAATATCTTCTATAAGTTTATCTACAATATGATCAAAATTTTGTTCAACTAAATTAATATCTAAATTATCAAAAGCCATATGTATACTCTCATTTTCAATCTCACTCTCATCCTCTTCTATTTTTTCTAGTTGCTTATAATTACTAAACCTAATTGTTGCTTGACATGTACTAGTTTCATATATTTGTACTTTATCTGGTTGTCTATTTAGTGCTACTTGTAAATTAGGCAATGTCCACTGAGTTCCTTCTAAAAAGCTATTATCTACGGGTTTTGCTTCTATCATATTTACATGTTTATTGCCAAATGTTTGAACTAAATTTTGAAACTCTAAATTAAACTTATGATTATATCTATCAGACATTTGACCTATATACATTAAGCTAATACACAAATTTTTATACTCTCCTTTCATATTATAATTTTTTGTTCTTATGCTCACTTTAATATATTTACCAAATTCATTAATCGTCATAACGTAATTTGGAATACAACCTATGACTGCTAAGTTTGAACTTAAGTCTACTTCAGCTGTTGCTATTGCTGCTTGTTAGTGATTATCACATCTATCATCATATATATATACTAAAGCTTTTGTACCTACTTGTGCTCTAGTTAATCCTGCTATTCCAATTAATATTTTTCCTATATGAATCTAACTAAAATGTGATTTTCTCAAATAAGTAACTACTTCTTTACTAATTAGATTAAGTGTGACTTCTTTATCAATACAGCTAACTTCATGTTGAATGATGCTACTTACAATTCTACTTCTGTTTTCAAATAAACCTAATTGATACAAGTTATATTTATTTTTCTGTGTTCTCTCAAAACCTCTTCGAATAAATTCTTGTGCTTCTTCTTCATTTGGATAAATATCTTCAGCTCTAACTACTTATTTTCCTTTTTTCTAAAAAGTTTCATTTTCTATTATCAAAAAGATTTAGCTTAGGTCTTCTATTATTATTTGCACTCATAGTTATATTTTCTAATTTATCTAGCAAGGATGGTGGAAGTGATGAAGATGCGTTATGTAAAACTTGATTTATTTCTGCTATTTATTCTTCAACTTGATCTAATTTTTCAGCCAAACTTAAAACTAATTGAATAATCAAATTATTTTGCCTAATGGGAGGATACTTGTGTGTTAAACCTATTGGTTCTTTATCTAACTTACTAATTTCTTTCAAAGCTTGAATATATTTTCTGCTACTTCTAGAGTCGGTCATTAAACTAATAATTTATCTATTTTATTATGCAACTTATCTACTTGTTCACTTAACTCTTTGTGTACTAATTGAATTTTTTGAACTTCTAATTTTAGCTACTCAACTATTTCTAATGATCTAAGTTCTACTTGCTTCGGCTTACTATCTATAAGATCAACAAGCTCTTTTATCTCTCTTTTGCTAGGAAACCTTTGAATATTTTTATTATTATCTTCTAATTGAGATGTAATATATACTAAATTTTGTCTAATTATTTTTATGGAATTTTTCTGAAAATGCTCTAACAACTGGTTTAACAAATGATTATGCTTATTATTTTCTAATTTTATATTTTCTGCTTGACTAATAATAAGATCTACAATACTATTGGCTTGTGAATTTTCTTCACTATGCAAAATATGATTATGCTTTCTTGATGGAAAATAACAAACTAAACTATTTTGGTCTAAGGTTACTTTTCTTTTTTGAGGTTTACTAATTTTTAGATTAAAATAATCTATCATAAACTATAGTCTACCTTTCTCTAGAGTTACGGCTAACCGGTTTCTTAGAAACTCTCTTTCTTCTCTCAAGGTTTCTAAAACTTGATATGTTGCTCTTTTTGCTTCTAAAACTTTATGTTGTACTTCTATGTTATTATATTTACTAATAAATGAAGGATGTTCAAGATAACCAAGATAAAACTTTTGCTTCTTCAAAATGCTGATAATTCTTTTGGATATATATGCTAATCTTCTCTTTATGCTATTTATAGTTGGATGTCTGGGATAATAAATACCTGGTAATTGTGGTTGACAGGGTCTACAGGGACAATAATATTTGTTGTTCATACACAATAAACAATTATGATATTAGTTGTATCAATGACTTCTATCCTCAAGGTACTTTACTATTATAATTATATTATTAAAATGTTAAACTTGGCTCTGATATCGAATTCGTAAAGCAAGCTCAGTTAAATAGTCGTATGACCATTATAACAACTAGACATAAAACCTTGCACATGGATCTCGACATGTTTTAGCATGACGACCATTCACAGTACAAGTATAAGGCCTTAACGGCTGAACTCAGAAGTACCCTGGTTAATGTCCAATTATTTGTATGGCAAGCATTCAACTATAACATAGTGCTTGAACAAAGTATGATAGTCAGTTTAGCAGGTTAATAATATAACTACAATAATGTTTTTCTGTTTTGGACTAGAAGTCTAATTAAACAAACACACTAAAGAAAGAAAAAAAAACTTACTTAAGACTTGGAGATTGCTTGAATATGTACACTTCAACTTTTATTGATATATGGAAAGTTTACAAAGATAGTTGTTTACAAGAAAGTGTTTACAAGGATGCTATGAAGACTAAGGATGCTTAAGAGTATGAAGATGGTGTGAGTATGAGAGTGGGATGTCCAGGTGTTGAGCTGTGTTTTTTTTTCGTGTGTCTTGCATAGGAGGAAATGCTCCCTTATATACAAAAGCTTATTCCTAAAAAAACAAAATAACTTTTCAATATTTACAACTTTTTGGATAGTGACAACACATTGTTTCTGAAAGATGTCAGCACTATTTCTGAAAACTGTTGAAGGCCACATGAATCCATATTGTCTTGGTTGCTGCAATGTTTGCCACCTTAACTTTGCCAAGCAAATTTTTTCTGAAAGTGTCACCTTCATTGTTGAGCAATCTTGTATGCATGTGTGAAGGGCATGATTGGTATTTTTGTTAAGTTTTGTCCTGATGATTAAAAAGAAAGTTTTATGGGTGTTTTGGTTAGTTTTCATACATAAAATCCAACACTTGCATTTCACGTTTACCCAAAAAAAAATCAAAAACCAGAAAGAAAGCATGAAACTGAGATTGCGATTGATAGAAACCAAAGAGACCATCCGAGTGGAGGTCCCCGATCTCTGCTCTCTCCACCACCTCAAACAAACCGTCTCCCAACTAATCTCCGCCGCTCCTTCCTCCCTCCGCCTCTCCCTCAACCGCCGCAACGAGCTCCATGCGCCATCCCCTCACGACCCCCTCCGCTCCCTCGGCATCACCTCCGGCGACCTTGTCTTCTACACTCTCGACCCCTCCTCCCAAGCCCTGGCTTCGCCTCTCCATCCAATTTCGCATTCGTCCGCAGAATCCCCAAATCGAACTGAGCCCCAGTGTTCGAATTTCCTAAACTCCGAAACCCTAATTGACGAAGGGGCTGTTTTGGCCGATTTAATTGCTGAAGAACAGAGGTCTGGAGGTTCGAATTCTGAAACCCTAGTGGTTTCTGGTGCCGAATGTATGGATATTGATGACCCGTCTGATGGGCTAGGGTTGAAGAAATACTCGGTTCCATTTTTCTTGAAGAGGGTACTGAGGGAAGAGTTGGGAGACGACCATAGCAATCACAAGCTATTGGTGATTGCTGTACATGCTGTGCTCTTAGAGTCTGGTTTCGTTGGCTTCGATTCGATTTCGGGTATGCTGGCCGATCAAAGGACGGGTTCAACGATTTCGCTTTCGTATACTCTGCCTGAGATATTGCGAAATCGGGGCAATACTGGTAAAGAGGTTGAAAGGGTTGTGTTGAAGTTTCAGAATTTGGGGCATTTTGTGAATGTTTATGGGTCTTTGGCAAATGGCGGTTCTTCGCCCTATCAGGTCTGTTTGGACAAAAACAGATTTGCCCCAACGATTGAATTCGTTTATGGAACCCAAAATGTCAATGACAGAGATGGGTTCGTTTTAGAGTTATCGAAGATTGTGAAAGATGGGATCACATTCCCATTGCTGATTGATCTTTGCGCAAAGGCTGGTTTGCCTGCACCACCGAGCCTTATGCGCCTTCCACCGGAGCTCAAAATGAAGATTCTGGAGCCACTGGCTGGTGTTGACATTGCCAAGGTGGGTTGTGTTAGTAAGGAGCTGCAAAATCTTGGTAATAATGATGAGTTGTGGAAGCAGAAGTACACTGAGGAGTTCGGTAATGGTAGTGGAGGAGAAGGAACTGGAGGTGAAGGAACAGTGACTAACTGGAAGTTTAGATTTGTTGGAAATTGGGAGACTAGGAAGCAACAAATGAAAGCAGTAGTGAGGTGGAGATCATTTGAGAGGCCTTATTTCAACCTTATCAGGAGGGACCCTAACCCATTTGTACCTCCAAGGATTGGTGGAATAATTGGTGGAGATTATGACCGATTTCCACTCTTTGGTGCAATTGATCCTACTGGACAAGCACACCCTCTTCTACAACAACCCCGAAGATCTGGTATGCGGCGTAATTTTTCACCCAATTGCGATCTGGGAGGGTTCAATATCTGATCTGGTCGCTTGGAAGTTGCTGGAACTGAAGCTGCAGGTTCATGTTTCGTATGCATAGTATATATAATAAGCATCTTGTTTAATCTCCAGCTAGTATTAAGACCAAGTTATTGTAAATTTTAGCTGTTTTTTTTTTCTTCTTGTTGATGTGAACTGTGTACATCGTTGTTGCTTATGTTGATTACAGTTGGATTTTGGATATGATTTGATGTTAAAGTTTTGGTGTTTTGGTGTTGGTCTCTGCTTTTGATGTGCATATAAGCTGCTCTGCTGCATTATTTTCCAAATTTTTATTTATTTCTGCCGGTGCTGAGTGCACACGAGCAGCTTCTTGTTTGGTTAAATTTGCTTGGTTATAAACTTCTAGGTAACATTCTGTTGACTGAATTGAACCACAGTTTTGAATAGTCGTTATGACGACATCCACAAATCAAATTCAAAAGACAAGTTGAACATTCCCCTAGTGTTGCTTTAGTCTTAAGTGCTATAGTCTGTTGTTCTCAAGGAATAAGCTCTCAACAAATGCATAAATTCGAGTCTCGGTACCCTTTAAGATTGAAAAATTCCTCATCTCCTCTACCCTAACTTCAAACCGCAAACTTGAGCTGTGTAAGGAGGAAAGAGCTCTAACTATTTATTTCTTGCTAGCAACCCTTAAACACCAAAAGAGCTTTATATTTGACAGAGAGAGTGAAGAAACACACAAAAAACTGAAACTCAAAAATTCTCTCCTTAGTATCTCGAGGTCTTCGCCTAAGTCAGTCAAAGACAGAGTATATGGAGTGCAAGTTCACTGCAAACAGAGGCTCAAATGAGTTAGGGGTGAGGATTGGAAATCAGGAAGTACCAAAGAGCAACTGCTTTCGCTACCTAGGATCTATCTTGCAAAAGAACGGAGAGTTGGATGGAGACCTCAACCATAGAATACAAGTTGGATGGATGAAGTGGAAGAGTGCATCCGTCATGTTGTGTGATTGTCGTATGTCATTGAAACTCAAGGGAAAATTTTATAGGACGGCAATAAGGCCGGCAATGCTTTATGTGTAACAACCCGTCTCGAAATTTACGGAATGAAAGGGCATTTTTGTAACTTCACTAAGATTGGGATATTTATTTTGAAATGGGTTTGCTTAGGTCTTAAATGGTGAGCCGAGTGTGGCCCACTTACTTTTTGGTCCCCCGGCCTCTCTCCTCCCTTGTCTGCCACGTGGCACAACCCCTCCTTAAAATATCTCTCCTGGTAAGGTCATCTCTTTCTCTCTCTCCATTCCGTTTATGTCTCTCTCCTTCTCAGACCTCTCTTTCTCCATCGCTACATCATTTCCTTCCCCCTTGCACCACTCGCCACCTTTACCCTTTAGCCTTGCGAGCTCCACGAACACTGGAGCAATAGAAGAACACTCAAACCTTCCCGTGTCTTGTGGCACCTTGGCGCTGCCACTAGAATCTCTTGGATAGTGTTTTTATGTGAGTTTGGGACGATTTTGAGTTGTTTTGGCGATGTTTGTGACAAAAAACTACTCAATAAGACTTCCCCAGATTTCCAACGAGAATGCCATGAATTCCAAGTCCTTCTCCACCCAACTCCGATCACTACTTGGGAAACCAAAGGTATAATCCTAATCTATTCTTGTTTGCCTTCAATTTGGTGGGTAGATCGTAGGTTATGGTAGAGAATCGAGGTTGACTGGAGCTTGGGAAGCTCCGGTTTTTGTCTCTGTGAGAACCGATCTAAAAATATGGTGGACCTGACCTGGTAGCCCAAACCCATTAACCCTAAAACTCAAACCAGGCATTTGGGCCATGGAACCCAGCCCAAACTTTAGGCCCAAACCTAAATAACCCAAGCTCAAAACCCAGAACCCAGTCTGTGTGTGGGCTTGCACATGGCGCGCGTGGGTGTCTGTCTTGGCCGACGCTTTAAGCACACGCGCCTCCACCGAGGTACTGTTCTCCACCGCCCATTCACAGTGGCGTCGGCGACTTTTCCAACTAACTTTCCGACGACCCAAATCGGCGCATGGGAGTATCCGAAGTCCCTCTTTATTTTTTTCAACGTCCTGAATCCATTTATGACATTCATTTCCCGAAATTCAACCGTTTTAGTATAGTTTTATTAATTGGCACCTTTATGTGCTTAGGTGCAATTGTGTATGACGTTTTCATCCCCTCTTATTTACATGGCTCTTCGAAGACGAAGTATCTATGAGTGGACCCCTTATAAAATGCATATTTTACTATTAGAAATGCATACATGAAATGTTTATGAGTAAATTGGATTTACACTTTATGTTATATTATCATGCTTTATCGATTTTATGTTCTTTGTGGTATATATGATTGATGACTATATACCTACTTATGAACGTGGTTTTACAATATGATATTTTAGTTACTGAGCTCCGATTATGATAACACTACTAAGCATATTATATACGATATATGTTTTACGCGAAGGTTTTATGGCATGCTAGGGTTTTCGGAAACCTATTACATATTATACTATTGAGTTTTCCTAAACTTTGGGGGTTAGTATGTTGATGAATAACTGTTTCAATATTACTTATATATAAACTTTGTCCACTCGTGTTTTGTTTTGCGCCCCCTCAGAATTTAGATTCGAGGCGTACAATCGTGGCGTCAAGGCACTCTCGCATTGGCATCTTCGAGTTCTCTTGGTGTAGGACCCATCTCTTTGTTCATTCATTTTTATATTATTCTATTTTTTTGTCTCGGATTAGTTGTATGCTCTGAACACGTTCCATAAATGCATATTCATTATAATTAAATTTACAAGTTTTAGTTATGTCGGTTAATTGTTTCTAGTTCTCATGCATCCTAATTTGTCACCTTCGGGTGTCGGCCAGCACGTGTCTACCCTAGTGTTTGGAGAATATCAAGGTCCAGCGTGTCATTATGGCACGAAATGTTGGACGGTGAAGCATCAACACGTAGATAAAATGGGTGTAACGGAGATGAGAATGCTTCGTTGGATGTGTGGGCACATGAGAAATGATAAGATTTGGAATGAGGATATCCGTGGTAAAGTAGGAGTAGCCGAAATTGAAGGAAAGATGAGAGAAAATCGGTTACAGGGGTTTGGACATGTGAAATGAAGGCCTACTGACGCTCCGGTTAGAAGATGAGATTACGGGACATAAGTTCAGGGTTGAAGGGGTAGAGGAAGACCTAGGAAGACTTTGGAAGAGACTCTAAGAAAAGACTTAAGAGTACTTGGATCTAACGGAAGACGTGACGCAAAACCGAATGCAATGGTGTTCTAGGATTCATATAGCCGACCCCACTTAATGGGAAAAGGCTTTGTTGTTGTTGTAGTATCTCAAAACCTTAGCAAAAAGATTAAAGACTGCAAAAACCGACTATCGCTTCCATATTTCATTCAATGTACAAGACAATCCATGTGGTTCATGCAATGCAAGAACCAACTCCTTTACATGGAGATTAACTCATCTTCAATTTTATTCGGGCTTCCTATTGAAATCTCAATTGTATCAGTCTCCCCGACGCATTTCGTCAGGGACAATCCTAATTTCATATGATCGACTTTGCGGTTCTCGTGAACTACCAACTTGTTTGGTATTTATTCTTCTTCAGCAAGACATTCTTTGGACGAATTGGGTGCTAAGAGAAATTCTTGTGTCCCATAAGAGGACTACATCATTCCGGTTCTTGTTTAATTGTATTTCATGGGCGTACGGTGACATGTTTCTCTGAGAGGACCTAAGAATTTCATGAAAGCTAGCGCCCAAAACCAACATTATTTTTCTATACTAAAACTCAAACCAACGTGTACTGTTCACGGACAGTGGAGTGGCGAAAATGCCCTCGATTTGGTTTGTTCCCAGGCGTGTTTTTCGTTGCTTGCATGGTTAAAAGGTGTCACGCGTTTGTCATCGATGATTTCAGAAGGGGTATCTCTTCTTCAAGGACCACAACCTCTCTTTTTTCTGAACTCTTCTTTCCATTTCCGTCTCTGTCTCACAAACCCTTTTGTTTCTCTCAAACCTTTCCTTGCCTCGCTTTCCGATTTCAAGTTCTCTATGTGTCTCGATTTTTTGCAGAAAACGGTTAAGTTAGTAAAATTTGTTTAGATCGTTTTGTTGGGGGTTGCAGACTACATCGTTCTCTCACTGACAAATAGTCAATTGGTCTCGATTTGCCAAATATTTGGAGCCCATAAAGGATCGCGTTGCCTGCTACCGATTTAGTGAAGGTAATTCTTTGCTTTGAATGTTATATGATTGGGAGTGTAAATTTGGATTTATAAATGGGTTTTTTGTTTAAATATTTTGGTTGTGATTTTGGGGATTTTGTTTATGGCTTCAGATTCTGGGTGATGGTGGTAAATTTGGTTTTGCTTTTTGTTTCAAGAGATCCGGTTTTTCTGGTTTCTGATGTTTCTTTGCAGCTTACGAATGCCTTTGTATTTAAGGTGACCAGTTTTGAAATTCTACGCTTTTGATTCGACTTGCAGTTTGAGATGTGATTTTAAAGCTGAAAGTTCCATGCTTTTTTATTAATCTTAAATCAGATTAGTTAATTATAGTTAAATTATTATTGTTATTATTTTTAATGTTATGCAGCTGAAATAGCTAAAGTTGAGAAAGTACAATTGGAGTTTAGAGTCTTGCACTTGGGAGTGTCAATTTGGATTTATAAATGGGTGTTTTGTTTACATTTTTTGGTTTTGATTTTGGGGATTTTGTTTGTGGCTTCAAATTCTGGGTGATGGTGGTTGATTTGGTTTTGTTTTTGGATTCAGGAGATCCAGTTTTTTGGGTTTTTGGCGTTTCTTTGTAGCCTGCGAAGGCCTCTGTATTTAAGGTGAGCAGTTTTAAAATTTTACGTTTTTTATTCGATTTGCAGCCTGAGATATGATTTTAAAGCTGAAATTTTCAAACTTTTCGATTAATCTTTGTAACAACCCGTCCCGAGATTTACGAAACAGAAAAGGTAATTTTATATTTTTACTAAGTTTGGGATATTTTTCCTTTTAAAAATGGTTTTAGACCCTTAAATGATGTGCCCAAGGGGTCCACCCCTGTTTTGTTGTCCCCGGTTTCCTCTTGCCTGTGTACCACGTGGCATTCATTATCTTTCTCTCTCTGCTCTCCTTCTCCCCGAACTCCCTTTCTGTCTCATTTTTATCCTTCTCCCTCACAGTTCTCTCCTTCCATAGCTAGCACCGAGATGGTGCTTTGGAGACGACCACCAGATGCCACCCTCACTTGTGGGATGTCCCTAATCTCTCTTAGACTCTCTTACTTCAATCTCTTAACTCTGCAACTGCATCACCGTGGCTGAGCCGCCTTGTTCGACATCGGTTATCGATTCCCCAGCATGAGAGTAAGATTCTAGACCTTTGAATTAATCCTTCTCTTGTCTATAGTTGTTGACTAAACTTTTGTACATGTTTTAGACGTCAAACCACGAAGAAACCACCTCAGGAATTTCTCCACGTTTTTCGACGAGCAGCACCGCCCATTTTGAGGCAATTTCCAGCCAAACCACAGCGAGTTGGCCGGTTTGCAAGGTAGTAATCTCTTCGTCTCGCTGAGTACTACAACTTTCCTTTTTATTTCACCCAATTTCGTTGAATATTGAAGAAGTTATATCCATTTGAATCTTACCCAGTTTCCGGCGACCTTCGAGGCCTTCGAGGCATTTTCTGGCCAAACCACGGTGAGTTAGACATCGTGCGAGGTATCATGCTCTTCATCTCTTCGAGGGATATGATTTCCGTTTTTGAATCACTCGATTTCATTAAGTATTGACAAAGTTATGAGTGTTTAAAGTTAGGGAAGTTTCTGGCCGAATTCCGGTCTTCTTCTTCCTTGGGTTTGGCGACCCATCAAACGCCCTTCGGGCCTTTCCTGCCGAGCCCAACCCAAACCCATTTCTTTTATTTATTTATTTTGTTTTAATTTTAAATAAAAAGGCCTTTGGACCGTTTTATTTAGGGCCATAGGCCCATCCTCTTCAGAACCCAAAAGCCCTTAGGCTTAAGGCCTTTGGGCTGTAGTTGTTGGAGGCCCTAAGCCCAACCCCAACCTTATTAATTATTTTTGTTTATTAAATTGATTTCAAAAACCCTAAGGCTTTCAGGTCATGTTCCTTAGGGCCTTAGGCCCGTGCCCTCTAAACCCTAAATCCCCTAGGCTTAACCCAACACCCTTAAGACCCAAGTCCTATCCGGTGGAATATTCTCTAGAATATTCCCCTGTTGACTTTTACGGAATTTATCCGGGACTCTTCTCAGGGTAATTCGACGTCTTGAATCCATTTCCAACGTTCGTTTTCCCAAATTCAATTGTTATAATAGAGTTTTATTAATTTGAGTCTTTATGTGCTTAGGGGCAATTATTGTGGCGTTTCCATCTTCGCTAGTTTGCGTGGCTCTTCGGCGGCTAAGTATTTGTGAGTGGACCCCTTCTAAAATGCATGTTTTGATAGTAGAAATGCATACATGAAAAACATGATTTAACAATTATGTTTTGTGAGACGCTTTGAGATAACATGTTTACTGAGACTATTTTGAATTATTACTATTTTTCCTATAACCCGTGTTCTTATAGAATATCTGATAGATGACGATATGATATTTAGAACATGATTAGAACACTTCTTTATAGTATAGATGATGGATGACTTTATACTATGAAGTTGATTTTCTATATATATATGTTCAATGGTTTGTACTTACCTAGTGGTCCATTCCGCTATGGAACGTAGGGATAGATTCTGGTCCGTCCCAGGCGACGGTATGGTGTTGGCATAGGGTTTGGAGTGTGTTTCCTCTGGTTATTTAGCACAGGGATGGGGAGCCGGCATAGGGCCTGGAGTGTATTTTCCTTTGACTGTCTGCTCAGAGACAAGGAGCCGGCATAGGGCCTGGAGGTTATTGGACAATTCACTAGTGATTATTATATGAGTTATGATTTGAGACATTGCACGACATGCTAGGTTTCGAAAAACCTATTTTGATCATGATATATGGGTTTTCATAAACCTGTGGGTTAATATGTTGATAACTGTTTTATTATATATATATATCAACTTGGTCCACTCGTGTTTGTTTTGTGCCCCCTTCAAGACTTAGAATCTAGGCATACAATCCCGGCATCCAGGCACTTCCGCATCGGCATCTTCGAGTCCTCTCAGTGTAGGATCCATCCTTTGTTTTATTCAATTTATATTATTTCTTTTAGTATTCTAGCTAGTTGTATGCTCTGAACACGTTCCTTAAATGCTTATTATTTATTCTTTTATATTTATAAGTCTTATCCATCCTTTATTCTCAGCATTTGCACTCAATAAATGACTTTCGTCACCCTCGGATGTCGGCCAACACGTGGCTATCCTGGTATTTGAGAAATATCGGGATCGGGCCGTGTCAATCTTAAATCAGATTAGTTAATTATAGTTAATTTTGAAAAAAAAAATTCTGTTATGTAGCTGAAATAGCTAAAGTTGAGAATGTTGGATATGTTGCCCTAGGGAAGAAATTTTAAACCTACAAAAGCTTGGTTTTCAGGAAATTGCCAATCCTGCATAAACTTTGGGTTTCCTGGTGAGTTCTCTGACTTATTTTTTTCGGGTTTGGTTTTGAGTTCTCTTTTCTTTGTTCAAATTTTTGTTGACTTTAATTTTAAAAATCGAGGTTTTTTTGTTCAATGGTTTCGTCCATCTTACTGGAATTTTTTGATTTGGGAATTGTAGAAGTTAGTGGCGATTCGTTAACTGGAATGAGAATTCAACTTCACACTTTTCGTTCCTGCCACGAAACTGCGAACTACTCTCTCTGTGGAAAAATAAATTAGGGTTCTTCTTCGATTATCTCAGGTATCCAACCTCTTTTTCTCTTTTGCCTTATGTTTTCTTCTTGCAGCTTTTGTTCCTCAACTTCTTATCAAGAACTAAAAAAGTTTGTTCCTGTGTTGCACTTTTTTCAATAAGTTTTATTCTTAGTTGCTTAAATTGATCTTTTGATTTAGAAGCAGCGGAAGAAATTAATTTTGATGGTCGTCCATTAGACTCTCCATAAGGCACTCCAGTCAAGACAAAATGATAACGAGGATGCACTCCAGTCGAGACAAAAGGATAACGAGGATGAGGCTTTTCCAAAACTAATTTCATCAATACTTTTGACAAATCTGGGAATTATTAAATTGTAATTTCATTTTATGGTTCCATTAATTTTGTTAGAATTGTGATTTGCAAGTTACAAAGAGAATTTCAGTTACTTTGTTTTCTCGATGAAGATTTAGGGTAAAGGTATGGGTTTTAATCAACCAACCATGAATAGAGATGTTACATTATCTATATTGTAATATGAGTTTAGAAGATAATTGCAATTAAACTTATCTGACTTTTTTCTGTTTCATGATGAGGATGTGAAGGTTTTTGGCCGGGGATGGAAAAAGTACGGTCAGGTATGATTTAACTTTATCAATATTTCATGCTATTATTAGTCCTGTGAAATATATTTTCTTTAGTGTTGTTTTTTAGCATGTCAATGTGTGAGTGTCTTTTTTAATTTTTTTCAAAAACATATTGAACAATGTTTTGTTTCAACAAATGATTTAAGCCCTTAATGTGTTAGGCATCGCATCATGTTCCAAAGAACTTGAATGGCAGGTTAAAATATATTGTAGCTTTTCAACAAATTCGCTACCCTTAGTCATACTCAGTGCATAAGGCTCCCGCTTTACGCAGGGTCTGGGAGAGGTGAATGTCGGCTAGCCTTAAGATTGTGTACTTTTGAGAACTCCTTTTTAATACAGCTTCATTAAATTTCTCTAAACCGTGGGGAGATGTTGGACAGAATGAATCTTATGGCGTTAAGGGTTGACAGCAGTAGCTCATGCTGATGGATTTTTAGAAAAAAGAAGAAAAAGAAGAAGAAAAAAATGGGTATTTTCCTTTTGTCTTTTGGTTTATGTTTCAATTATATAATGGCTGCAATCTAAATGTTTCTTATTTTTTTATTTGATTTGACTCAACCTTTTGCCTACTTGGAATCCTCCACCGAAAGGCAAATTGGTTTCTGTTTTCTTTCTATTTTTAGGAAAATTTGGGATAGTTAAAAGAAAAAAAAATTAAATAAAAAAGGAGGGTTCCAAGTTACATTTTTTTTTTTTTTTTGAGAAGAAACTGAAACATTTTATTAAAAAAGAAAGGTGAAATTATACAGAAGTGGATAAGAAATCCACCAAGAACAAATCAAGAAAATCTCTCAAGAGGATTTGATTACAAGTAGCAAAACCTTAACCAAAATCACTTTACAGCTGCTAACATATCCCACAGTATGTGAGAAAGAGGGTAATTCTTAAAATCATTCGAAACTGGAGCTCGGAGCCCAGAGGACTGCCCAATATCTTACTCTTCCCCATAGATCTACTACCCCCACACCAGTATAATCCTAAAAAATTCTTTTGTACACTCCAACCAAATGTTCCAAAAAACTGCCAACACCAGACAACCCCACAAAGCTTTAGCTTTCCTCCCAACTCCTAGAGCCTTAAAATTGGTGCTTAGAAACTCAAAACAACCCTTTGGAATGACCCAACTAACTCTAAACCTCCTGAAACAATTTCCACCACAATTGGATCGTGTAAGAACAGTGGAGAAAAATGTGGTTAACACTCTCCTCCTTAGCTTTACACAAACTGCACCAATGGGGATATAAACAAATAAAAGGGCTTCTCCTTTGAATTTGATCACAAGTATTGCGCTTCCCATTAGCCATTAGCCACACAAGAACTTTGACCTTCGGAGGAACTTTTGATTTCCAAATCTGAGAAGAGGATGAAAAATGTTGCACAATCCCATTGTTGCTCAAGACATAGCGATGGGATTTGCAAGAGAACAATCCTGATAAGTCCAGTTTCCACCTTCTGTTATCCGCTCTTGATTAAGACAAGCAAATATTTTCCACTTTTTGTAATAATCTAGCCGCCTCTTCTATCTCCACCTCATTCAAATTTCTCCTGAAATCAAAATTCCAACTCAAAGAATTGATAGAATGATCCACAAAACTTGAGATGTTCTGATTGTGCATTCTCGATAGCAAGAATAATCTAGGATATTGCTCTTTCAATGGTCCCCCTTCCAACCAACCATCCTCCCAAAACCTCACCCTCTCCCCGTTGCCCACCTCAAACTTGGAGCATTGTAGAAACAATTGGTAACCACACGAAATATCTTTCCAGGGGCTGCGACTTGAAACCCGCAGCGGAGGGTTTTCATTCCACCCATTATCCTGCAGCCCATACTTGCTTCTTATCACCTTATGCTAGAGAGAATTTGGTTCCCTTGGGAATCTCCACAACCACTTAGCCAGTAACGCTTCATTCCGTTTCCTCAAATTCCCCACACCTAAACCCCTTTCCTCCACTAGGTGGTTTTCTTTCCTTCCTCCACCCCTTCCCAAAGAAACCCTTTCATTAGTTTTTCTAGGCGTCCAATCACCCCGCAAGGAATTTTGAACAAGGACATGTAATAGATTGGCAAGCTTCCCAAAACAGATTGAATCAAAGTTAATATACCTCTTCTGGATAAGAAGGCCTTCTTCCAACTTTGAAGTCTTTTTTTCCATTTTTTCTACCACTGGATCCCAAAACATAAGTGCTCTTGGCCTACCCCTAAGAGGGAGACCCAAGTACTTTATTGGCCAACTACCCACCTCGCAACCCCAATAATCTGCCATCCTTTTTAATTTCTCACAATCTGAGTTTATTCCGGCCAAAGAACACTTTGCTTTGTTGATTTTCAACCCTGAAACAGTACAAAATAAATTGAGCACCTCTAATAAATTGTTCCAAACTTCCTCATCTTCCGCCAGGAACAAAATGGTGTCATCAGCAAATTGAAGATGAGTAATCTCCACCCTTTCTTGCCCAATGCATAAACCCTTGATCAGGTGATTTTCTTGAGCCTTCTCCATTAATCTACTCAAAATATCCAATTTCAAGATTTCCCAACAATGTTGAAACTCAAAAGGCCTCTCAAGCCAAGCTGCCTCAAATTCACTTATTGAGGCCCAATTGATGCCTTCCAAGCCCCAACATGCCTCTTTGTTGCTACTAAACAGGGACTTGAAAAAGTTAACGATATGTTTTTCTATCTCTTATGCATCCTCTACCACTCCCCCGTCATCCGCTTCCAACCTTTCTATATAGTTTCTCTTCCTTCTCCCACTTGCTTTTCTATGGAAAAATTTAGTATTACCGTCCCCTTTTTTAGCCCATTCCACTTTACCTCTCTACCTCCACTTCACTTCTTCCTTATAAGCCAGATCTTCCACAAGGAAAAGTAACTCTTCCCTCTTTCTTTTAGCAACAACATCTAGCCCTTCCATCCCTTCTCTCCTATCTAAATCCTCTATGCTAGCCTCAGCTTCCTTAATGTCTTTCTCGATATCATCGAAATCTCCTTACTCCATCTTTGCAACTTTCTTTTGATAGTTTTTAACTTGCTCAAAAATTTATAACCCTCCACCTGCTCAGATTGCCACCATTGTTTGAAATTGTTCTTGAAATTTGGGTGTTGTAGCTACATGTTTTCGAATCTGAAAGGACTTGGCCCCCATTTCACTTTGTTAGTATCTAGCTGGATTGGACAATGATCAGAAAGGACCATTGCCAAAGCCAATTGTCTTACCTCTGGAAAAATCTCTTCACAACCTACAGAGAACAAAAATTTGTCTAACTTCCGACACACAGGTTCTTCTCTGAAGTTTGACCGAGTAAATTGAGCATTGAGCAGCTCCAGATCCTTGAGTTTTGTATCTTGGATGAAATCATTAAAATCCCTCATGCTTGTAGTCATCCTTCCCCCATTTGATTTCTCATTTACAAATCTCATCACGTTAAAATCTCCTCCTACACACCATCTTGGTCAGCAAAGGCCGTAAAGGCCAGCCAATTCTTCCCAAAACTCCCTTCACTCTCTATTTTTGCAGGGACCATAAACACCTGATAACCACCATTCCAACCCATTGAGGGCCTTAATTTTTATGGAAACCGAGAAAGCTCCAACCAAAGATTCAATAACTGAGATGTGTTTGGTGTTCCAAATCACAGCTATACCCCCAAATCTTCCTTGAGCAGGAGCATAAATCCACTCTTTAAATTTGCTTCCCCAAACACTAGCCATAAGCCTCCTGTCAATTGATGCTTTCTTTGTTTCATGTAAGATAATGATATCTGGCTTTAAGCACTGGAACTGCTGTTTCAAAATCAACCACTTCTGCCTACTTCCCAAGCCTCTAACATTCCAGCTAATTATCTTCATTAAATCTGACAATGCCCCTTTGAATTTTCTTGTCTCCCTTGTTTCCACCCACAAGCTTGATAACATTGACTTTCCCAGTATTCATTTCATGAAATAAAGACCTTTTCAGTGGAACCAAAGAAACTTTCATATTTGACATGAATTTGGTAGTTCGATTTTGTGCCTCACGTTTGACTGATACGCTAGCCGACCTTTTCCTCCTGCTGTACTTTTAACAGTTTCTTGTTTTTTTCCAGTATCCTTGAATTTAACTTGTTCCAGTATCCTTACTTTACTTTCATAGAATGTTTCTGGTTTCTGTTTGTCTTGGGGGAAAATTTGCATTTGTGGAGAAGTTTTTGGTGAAATATGATCAGGTTTAAAGCTTTGCAGGTTGTTTTGTTTCAACTAGGACTAGTGCTGGATTTTTGTGTGGCAGAAATGAGTTCAAATTTTTCGAAAATAGAATTAGTTGTTTTGAATTGGGTTTGAAGGTACTCAACTGTGGTGAAACCGTTGTTCAAAAGGGTTGATGTGGAGCTGATTGCAATTGAATTGGATGAACTGAGTACGAATTTTTCTACCTATTACATGGCAATGCTACAGTTTGCAATTCAGTCCTTACATTAATGTAATTGAATTTTGTCGTATTTCTAAGCCTATTCTTTAATCGTTGTTTTATCTCTGATGGGATTGTGATTGAAAAGAAATTAACTACATTTTCTCTTTGAATGGGGCTTTTCAAGTTTTGGATCTCTCAGTTCTAGTCCATGGGAGATATAATAATGTTTTTATCATCATTGTTATATCGTTTTGCACTCAACATATGTGTAAGAGGAAAGCAATAACATCCTCTGTTTAACAATCCACTTAACGTTGTCAAGTAGATTGCTATATACTTTTATCTTTTGTATATTGCATTACCGTTTTGCAACCCAATCTTTTATATCATTCAAACGTAATTTTTTATACAATTTTCAATCTTGCAGCAACTCGCGGGCATAAATTTCTAGTAAGATAACTGAAAATCTTCACAAAGATACGCACCACCCAAACAGATCAAGGAAAACAGAGGCTATGTAGCAGCATACCCAAACCCAAGTCCACGTTAAAACAGAGGGTTTTTTATTTAATTATTTAGAGCAAGAAGTACAAAATTTTTAATTTCCTAGATTTGTACAAGTTTCCAAGAACCATTTCTCTTTTCAGAGCATGCAACAATGAGACGTATCGAAGTTACTTTGTTCTAAAATGGCATACTCCACATGATCCCAACGTGTAAAGATGAATTGCCTAACAAGGCTCCAACATCTACTGTTTCGTGGACGGATTATGCATTTCATCTTCATTCTCAAAATTCTATTATATTCCGACGTATCTTATACTCGGGCCTTTTTAATCGTTATATCTTGTCATTGATCTTTGACCAAGGATTTAACGACCAAAAATTTCGGAGTATGGTTACTCGGGCATACTAGAAAATCGCACTCATTCTTATATAAAATTGGCTTTTGAAGCTTCCTCTTGCAGATGATCAGTCTCAAATTTCTCTTCCTGGGTTGCCACCACTTGATCCTTTGGACTTCCCTTCGTTTGTTTACGACTTGGGGTCGCTTTCTATGAACTGGTTGTGGGACAGTTCTCCAATGTTGACAAAGCTGATTGGGTCCTCTGCAACACATTTTATGAGTTGGAAGAACAAGTCCCTCTCTCTCTCTCTCTCTCTCTCTCTCTCTCTCAGTAAATTAAACTAACTGCATACTAATTTTCTGCTTATGTGGTGGATTGGATGGCTAAGCTTTGGAGATTGAGGACCGTAGGACCAACTATACCGTCCAAGTACTTGGACAAGCGACTTGACCGCAAAGAATATGGTGTGAATCTCTTACCAAACAATGATGCCAGCATAAAATGGCTAAACGGAAGGCCAAAAGGGTCTGTTGCTTATGTATCGTTTGGCAGTGTAGTGGCACTCGCAGTTGAGCAAATGGAGGAGCTTGCTTGGGGCCTGAAGAGGAGCAAATGTACTTTCTTGTGGGTGATTAGAGAAAAAGAAGCGGCAAAGGTCCCAAAAGGGTTCATGGAGGAGACATCCGAGAAGGGTTTAATGGTTTCGTGGTGCCCCCAAATGGAGGTTTTAGCTCATGAGGCAGTTGGATGCTTCATCACACATTGCGGTTGGAACTCAAACTTGGAGGCACTGAGTTTGGGGGTTCCAATGGTGGCATTGCCGCAATGGATGGACCAACGTACGAATGCCAAGTACATTAAAGCTCCAACTGATGAGAAAGGGGTTGTGAGACAAGAAGTAATAGAACATTGCGTAAATGAAGTAATGGAGGGAAAGAGAGGGGAAGAAATACAGAAGAGCGCTGCCAAAAGGAGAGAATTGGCCAGAAAGGCGGTGGCTGAAGGCGGAAGCTCTGACAAAAACATTAACTTGCAAAACTGAAGGTCCAAAGCTAGTGCTCAAGTCCAACAAAATCGAACTGAATCGAATAATTGTGTTTGTAAGGAGCTGCTAAATCTTGCTAATAATGATGCGGTGTTGAAGAAAAAGTATGCTGAGGAGTTTGGGAATGAGTAGCATAGGAGAAGGAACCGCGACTAAGCTAGAGGTTTAGGTTGGTTGTAAAATGGGAGACTAGGAAGTAACAAATGAACCAACCAACCGTAAAGCGTTTATTTCTCGCTAATGATACATCACATGATTTATAAATGTGATATAAAAATATAATATCCCAAACATTCGTTTGTTTTTTTTGACAAACAAACCACACAATAAACCAACCAACCATAATAATTTAATATCGAAACCGTAGTCAGAATTTAAAGACTCTCGGTCTCACACCTATTGGAGGGTAATTGGACTTCAGGGTTTGCAACAACGTGAGACGTGTAATTAGCTTGTAGCTGGGTATGAGCGGTGTTCCCCCTTCAGTAAACCTAATCTCTAACTAACCAGTCACTGCATCTCCTCCTCCTCCTCCTCTCTCCGCCATGCCGTTGTCGGCCACTCTCTCTCCTCCCTCTCTCTCTTACTTCCCCCAAACACAACACCACCAACCACAACTCCATCTCCTTCACACTCTCCATCCCCATCTCAAACCCAAAACACTCACCCTTCAATTTCAATCCCCCCAAGCCTCAAGACGATCCCCTAATTACCCTCAGGTCCTCCCTCCCTCTCTCTTACTCTCTCTCCCCCACTCTCTCCCTCTGCAATTCTAATCAATTAACCCTTCGGACTGCATTTCACAGGGCGGCGGTGCCGATAATCTCGCCGACGACCCCCGCAGTTGGGGCCGTTCGATCAATTCCGAAGTCGATCGGCGCTACGATTTTGAAGACGACGACGAAGACGATGAAGATGACGAGGACGACGAAGAAGAAGACCGGAGTTTGGATTTGTTGGTGAGGTTTGTTCAGAATGTGTTCAAAAAGGTGTCCAGGCGTGCGAGGAGGGCCGTCCGATCAGTTCTCCCCGTCTCAATTCCCACCAAGTTGGTAATCATTTGATCATAAATTTGGCTCCTACTACCTTAATATTCATTCAGAAAGATTGGATTTTTAAAGCTGAATTGTTAAATTGTTTTTTGTTGTCGGTTTGGCTTTCATATATATAGGTGGGATTTTCTGTTAATGGGGTGCTAATGCTAGCATTCTTGTGGGTCTTGAAGGCATTTCTTGAGGTAATATGTATATATATGTATACATTGTGTAATTTTGCATTCATCTGAATGGAAAACTCAGTAGGTAAGGTGTCATAGGGAAAGTGGCCCGCAATTCATGGGCATACCAACATTCACACTAACTCAAAGTGGCCCGAGCTGCAGACTGCAGTTTCTTATGCAGCGTTTTCTGATAATAAGCTCAAGAACAATGCCTTTTTCAAAAGCTTGATCTTTTGGCAAGGCACTGAATTTTCTCTGTTTAGAAGGCCTTCAACAGATTGAAAACTATACAGTTATTAAACCGTCAAGATAGAGAGAAAATTTAGGATTTCGATAGTTGTTTAAGTATGAGCTTTTCGAATCATCCTGTTGTTATAGATGGTGTTCTTATTGAGGGCTCTCGCGTGAGATGTCATACTTAAAATTACATAAAAAAACAGCAATCAAATTCTTGTATTAGTGTTTGCATTGGCGATGAGTATATTTGTTTTTAGTGATGATTTTTATGCGCTACCTGAATGATTTCCTAATAAAATCTTGAACTTTCATTGTGCTCGTGTTAAATCCAGGTAGTTTGCACCCTTGGAAGTCTGGTGTTCGTAAGCATCTTACTCATTCGTGGGATATGGACTGGAGTAGCCTATTATCAAGATAACCGCAATCAGAAACCCCGCAATTTTGAAGATGACAACCGTCCATGGGCGGGCGCACAGCCCGCAACCTGATACTACCATTCAGAGGAGAGATCTGCTGAATTATAATTTCACACCAGATAGGAGTACACAATAAAGGAGGAACACTTGAGAAATCAAGGATGATGGGAAGATGGCATTAAAATGTGTTTGAGCGTAATCATTGTTCTGGCCTTCATGGAGTTTTAAATATGATGCAACTTCCTGCCTTAATAGATAAACAAAGGTTTGTTATTGTACACAGGTATTCTGTCAAAATTTCGTCAATGAGATTTGAACTTAGGAGTCGGGAGAACTTCCGATCAACTTCGGCTTTGAGACTGAGAAGTGAGAAGACTGGAGAAGAGAACGATGGTGGTGGAGATTGGGAGAGAACGGTGGTGAAAGAGATTGGATAGGGAGAGGGAGAGTGTTCGTTGTCTGGGTGAGTGATAGAGATGAGTGAGTCTGAGACCTAGTTTGGGAGTGAGGTGCTTAAAAAAAAAAAACCCATGAAAAAAAGCTGTGAGGGTTTTAGGTGTTTGGTAAACTGAAAAAAAAGGGCTTATTTTGGAAGCTGCTGTGAGAATAAGCTGAAATCAAAGGAAAAAGCTGAAGTTGCTATTTGCAGCTTTGGAAAACTGGCTTTTTTTCAAAGCACACGGAGCTACAGTGCTTCTTTAATGAAAAAACCCACTATTAGACTGTTTTTTTTTTTTTTCCAAAAGCACTTTTACAAAAAAGTTTACCAAACACTCTGCTGATTTATTTCATAGCCGTTTATTCTCACAGTAGTTTTTTTTCAAAGCACAGCAATTCCAAACCAGCCCTGAGAGACAGAGATCGAGTGGGGAGAGTTGAGGCCTGAGGGGGGAATACATCAAGTGTGACCGAGTCCATGTGAACTCGGATAACCAATGGAACCAAGTCACATGGATGACGATTTTAATAAAAAATAAAATAAAAATCGATTCAATTCGTTTCGGTATCAACTTTGGAACCGAAACAAAATAATCACAAAACCGAGCCTATCTTGTACCATACCCAACAAGTCGAAAAAACAGAACCGACCGAATTTTTCCGGTTCGGTCCGGGTTCGGTTTCGATTCTTGGAACTTTATGCCCACCCCTAGTTGGGATTTCCTCTAGCAAATTGGAGATTGAGTGTTGTTGGACCAAATAATTGTATTTTAATTTTTACGCATTTAGATTTGACTAGTTTACACTGATTGGTAGCGAAAATCTCATTTTCTATCTTTGCACACCCATAATTTTCAGTAGGGGCGAGAATGAATAATATAACAGTGATATGTAAAAAGAAAGGAAAATGACGTGGGAAAATTATTTATCAATCCCAAGGGAAAAGGTATTCACTAGTTGTCAGTGAGAGAGACTTGTATCTGGGTGGTTGGATTGGGTCCCGGGATTGCTTTAGTTTGCACATGAAACATGGCAACGCCATTTGTCCCTCCCGCACTTTTCCCATCATCATTCACCGTCCTTGTTTTTGTGTCACATCCAATGTATAAGGCCAAGGCCATCTCAATTTTCCAATTTCAGATACATTTTTAATCACTTTGATGAAAATATAAAAATTAATATGTAAATTCATACAATTTTACTTTGGTGAAATTATAAAAACTTAATTTGTTTGAAAATTTTGGTTTATGAATGATTACGCGTATTTGATATTTAATTTAATCCTAATGGTTAGGGTTCTCAGTGTAGCAGTTAGGCAAATTGAGAGGCTAATCAAAACTCAATCTTTTTCACGATGGTTGATGAGATTGCCTAAATTGATTGAACCGAGCTCAAATCATAATTTTTTTCTAGTCCCATCCATGAAAAGATTGAAAATTAAGTTACGTACAAGCGAAGTTTGGTTGAACCTCTCAATGTTTTACCCTAGTATTTCTTTTAAAAAAAAAAAAACTATTTTTACCATTTATTTGTATCGTAGGGATGAGACTCACATATGTTGGTGGGCCCTACTTCTATTAGAGATTGTAAAAATATGATAAGTGTATAATTACTCATTTCTTTTACACAAGCAACTACTGGAGGATGGGAAATCCGATATAATACCTCGAATGTAGAGGTAAATACTTTTAACCATGTGAGTTCTCACTGTTAAATCCATTTATGGATTCAAAAGGGAAAATTGATATAAACACTCCAAAAATCTTATCATGACAGTCCTCATAAATGTATTTTTTTTATTAATTATAAAAAATTTAGAGTGTCAAATGAAATTTTAGAGTATCAATAATAATTCCTATTAAAAAATAAAACAATAAATTAAATAAAAGAGAAAAGTATGGAGAGGATTTTACCCTTTGAAAACTAATGGGCCTTGGGCCTTGGGAGTTATAAGTCATTCAATGATCGGGGTCCAATTTCAACGACAGACTCCCTTCGGGCGGCAAAATTTAATTTTCAAAAATCAAAATATAAGAGAGAGAAAGGACAACCGCGGTTAAAAGAGGGTGGTAACGCCAGACCAGCATCGCATCAAAGACAGCCCACCACTCAATCCTGGCCGTCCGTTCCCACCCAATCCTTAACCAAACCCTAACCCCACCTCTGGTTAAATTTCGCATATCCTCTCCCGCATTTCCACCTATAAATCACTCCCCAAATCCCCCCTATTAGATCTCATCAGAAAACACAGAGGATTTCACAGAGGGCGTCTTAATAAACGCCTTCGACTCTTCGTCTCCTTGTTCCTGCGAGCCTCTCGTTCTTCGATCTCTTTTGTTTCGTTTCGCGGTTTCAATCGGGAAAGATGAGGGAGTGCATTTCGGTCCACATCGGTCAGGCCGGTATCCAGGTCGGCAATGCCTGCTGGGAGCTTTACTGCCTTGAGCATGGCCTTCAGGTATCCTCTCAATCTTTCTACCTACATTTCTCTATTGATTTTGTTCGTATGCACATTTGCGTTTTGTATCCGTGATTTGTTCGGTTTCTTTTGGATCTGTGGCTTTTGCGCTCCGATTCGTCGTGATTTGTATGGATCTGTGATTTTATTTCTATTTGGCTCGGTTATCAATCAGATCCGTGTTTTTTGAGAATCGGATACACATATAAATGTTAATTTTGATTTGTATTTGAAAATTAATCAAAATTAACATTACTATTGTTTTCAAATCATTCAATTTTCCTTGGATCTATGATTTAGTGTGTTATTGACAGTCAAATCCGATTCTCAGTAAATTTCAAATTTGGATTGTAATTATTCGTTAATTCAACGGATTTTGTTCTTCGATTATTTGTGATGTTATTCGGTATATTTTGTTTCCCTATGGAATGTGACGATGAAATCGTCAATGACAATAGGTTAAAGGCTTGTTTCTCAAGATCATTTGCAGCTTTAGCCTTTTTTGCCGGTCTTGAGGGCTTGTGCTGCTTTTATCCTTCCTCCATCCTTTGAAACTTTGTAATTCATTATCGTTTGTATATACGTAAATTTGTAGTGTTTTTTTTTTAATTGGATCGGCAGATTAGTTGCTAATTCTGTGTGTTATTTTACAGCCTGATGGCCAAATGCCTGGTGACAAGACTGTTGGTGGAGGTGATGATGCCTTTAACACATTCTTCAGTGAAACTGGAGCTGGCAAGCATGTGCCTCGTGCTGTGTTTGTTGATCTCGAGCCCACAGTGATTGATGAAGTGAGGACTGGTACCTACCGCCAGCTCTTCCACCCTGAGCAACTCATTAGCGGCAAGGAAGATGCTGCCAACAACTTTGCCCGTGGTCACTACACCATTGGCAAGGAGATTGTTGATCTCTGCTTGGACCGCATCCGGAAACTTGCTGACAACTGCACTGGGCTTCAAGGTTTCCTTGTTTTCAATGCTGTTGGTGGAGGGACTGGCTCTGGTCTTGGTTCGCTTCTTTTGGAACGTCTGTCTGTTGATTATGGAAAGAAGTCAAAGCTTGGGTTCACTGTGTATCCATCTCCACAGGTCTCTACATCTGTGGTTGAGCCCTACAACAGTGTCCTCTCAACCCACTCCCTCCTGGAACACACCGATGTTGCAGTGCTCCTTGACAACGAGGCTATCTACGATATCTGCAGGCGCTCTCTTGACATTGAGCGACCCACCTACACCAACCTCAACCGTCTTGTGTCTCAGGTACAGAACTATCTGGTTTATGGTTTCGAGTACAGAATTTAGATCACATTGTTTTTTACGAAGTGATTGTTACTAAATTTTGTTTCTATTTGGTTTTCAGGTCATTTCCTCCTTGACTGCTTCTCTGAGGTTCGATGGTGCCCTTAATGTGGATGTGACTGAATTCCAGACCAACTTGGTTCCATACCCCAGAATCCACTTTATGCTTTCCTCATATGCACCTGTCATCTCTGCGGAGAAGGCGTACCATGAGCAACTCTCAGTGGCTGAAATCACCAACAGTGCCTTTGAGCCCTCATCCATGATGGCAAAGTGTGACCCCCGTCATGGCAAATACATGGCCTGCTGTCTGATGTACCGTGGTGATGTTGTGCCCAAGGATGTGAATGCTGCTGTCGCCACCATAAAAACCAAGCGCACCATTCAGTTTGTGGACTGGTGCCCCACCGGATTCAAGTGCGGTATCAACTATCAGCCACCCACTGTGGTTCCAGGAGGCGACCTTGCCAAGGTCCAGAGGGCTGTGTGCATGATCTCTAACTCGACCAGTGTCGCTGAGGTGTTCTCCCGAATTGACCACAAGTTTGATCTCATGTATGCCAAGCGTGCCTTTGTGCACTGGTATGTGGGTGAGGGTATGGAGGAAGGAGAGTTCTCTGAAGCCCGTGAGGATCTTGCTGCCCTTGAGAAAGATTATGAAGAAGTTGGCGCAGAGTCTGCTGAGGGCGAGGATGATGGAGAGGACGAGTACTAAGTGCCTTGAACTGAAGTATCTATCGCGTGTTGTTTTGTTATTTGAGTAATATGTTATGCGTATGATGATGCCTTGTGTGTCATCTGGTTGTTGTGTGTTTGTGAACTTCTGGTGGAGTTGTTGCGTACTTAATTTGCAATGTTATATATGATATTCCGCATTTCCATTTGACAAAGAACTGGAACAAAACTTGAAACTAAAATTTGGGTTTTTTGAACCTGAAGTTGGGAATATGGGGACTTGAAGTTGTACCGTTTATAACCCGAAGAGTCGCTTAGCGTCACAGAGATGACTGAAGTTTGAAATGATCCGGTACCTGTTTTGGGGCTTTTCCCCGCTTGTTTTCTTAGTCTTGAGTGGAGCTCTCAATAGCACAACAGCACTGAATTTGTTCACAAAACGTGCATAATGGAACTTCATCAAGTTGGTTTTATACACACAAGGAATAAAAAGATAACAAAGTTATTGATAAGTTTGAGATTTATACACACAAGGAATAAACAAGAGCCTAGAAAATAGTTGGCCGGAACCTGTATTTGGATTCTAAGTTATGAGAAAGACTTGTGCTTCACTTTACACGTGGTGCTATTTGAGAAATCCTTTCGTCTTCCAGAAGTTCATACGGATCAATGTATTGGGGTGGTGACATCGGCGAACTGCTTCCGTCATGGACAAAAGTCGATCCAAAGTACTGCCCAAGAAGATTGAAGGATCAGTGTCTTACACTTAATAAAATGAAAAAACAGTCACTAACCTCTCTCTCTCCTGCCTAAGGGTCAAACAATCACAAAATTTCTCTCCTTAACTATCCTAATCCAATCAATTATATATACATCGTTGAAATACGCTTTCCTATTTACAACATAGTAATGATTTCACCAAACGTGCATCTACCTTGAAGAAACCTTACCATCATTATAAGAGCAGTTCCTGACTATATTCCAACCATGTTTAAATTAACAAACGACGGGTGAATAACATATCAGACAATCATTGTTGTCCTACATCTTTACAGGTTAAACTTTTGAGAATAGTGGTAAATTAGGAAAACTTTAACGTAGTATCGAAAAGGAGTTGAGCTCTTCAGTGATAAGGACAAGCTCCCTCACATCCTAACAACTTAAGTTTTAGGGGTTAATACACTAACAAAAACTTAATAATAATGAAGCAAACGTGTCAGGACGGCACTTGTCATAATACACAGGCCAACGTGTCAGGACGGCAAGCAAGATTAAAATTATGAACAAACTTAAGGCCAAGGAAGAGAGTTTACCAAGTAGAGAGCAGAGAAGAGTGCTACAGTTATGAGGATCAATGGCCAAAACCCCAAGAAGAATGTCCCTCCGATTGTCAGCAAGAGTCTGGCCCGAGGGATTAACCCCTGAAAACAAATGAAGTTATGAACATTCCTTGAGCTTCTGCAAGTCTATTGCCACATGTACAAAGCAACACCATTCAAGTAAATAGGGCAGTGAATTGTGCTGAAGCTAAATATATAGTTTTGAAACAACAAAACGTTGCTCGTACTACTTATTTCATGAAAACTATTAAACTAACGGTTACTGTAAACGTAGGATATGGTGCGCCAAAAGCTCAGATTAGATTGATTTTACAATCATCTAACACAACAAAACCAATAACGAAATAAAAGTGATACAACCTCAAGGCCTTCGCTGTTCAACTGCATGGACCGCTCCCTTTGATTTGCAAGGCTTTTCTCAATTTCGGTTGAGACTGCATTTCTAGCCGAGAAACCTCTATCTTTGTTTCTCATCTCCTCATTCATTCCATACTCAGTCCGCTCTTTTTCCTCAAGCAAAGAAGTGGGATTCATACCCCTCCTCCTTAATTCCTTCATAAACAACGACTCCGGAGGTTCTTCACCTGAAACATGAACTTACAACTCAGCAACATACAGATTCTACCATTCCCTTGACATCCTTTAATTTCAATCAACTGACCCATTAAATCCAATTAACTCCATTCTTATCTGCCCACAAATACTATTAAAATTCAATCTTTGCGCTCAATTTACAAAAAAAAATTATTCTTTCAGATTTAACCACCCAGTAATTAACAAACCCTTTTTCTAAGTAGAATTAAAGTGACCAAATATATAGACAATATAAATTTCATCACACAAACTAATTAAACCAATATTTCAAAACAACTCCTTGCATGCAACCGAGTTCGAATCCCCCTCCTCGGAGTTTAGATTAATTTAAAGTAGAATATCGCTCGTATCAAAACAAATTCCCAAAATCTCAACAAAACAACTGATTAACCCCAACTTTTACTTGCTAAATAAGAACCAGAAAATAATTTCGAAAAGCGAGAGAGAGAGAGAGAGAGAGAGAGAGAGAGAGAGAATTTTGAAGAGCTCACCATTGCTTTTGCTGTCAGATTCTTGAGCTTTGCAGCAGACGCCAAACCTCCTCCTATTTCTCAAGTGATATCCATACGCTCTGTATCCTGACAACCTGATTAAACTTGTCCTCGACTGAAATTCCGGGAAAGCCCAGCTGGATTTTCCGGGAAAATTCGACTGGGAAACTGGGATTGGAGAGAGAGAGCACTTCAACATTTGAACAGACGCCATTCTCAATGGAAAAATAATCTCATTTCGCTGCCGATAGCTAAAACAAAGAAGAAAAATAAGAGATTTTTTTTTTTTTCTTTTTTTTCTGAGAGCGAAGGCTTTGTTCAGAGAATCAGAGGTGAAGAAGCAAGTGGCGACAAGGTGTGCGGGTGTATTTTAGCGGCAGAGAGGTGTTGGCGGCTATCTTGCGCGGGAGATGGCGTGGTCTGCTTCTTGTGGCTGAGACTTGCGGTCAGAGAGGTAGAGTAAGATTCTGGAATTTTTTATGTCCGGAACACGTGTACACCACATATAACTGGATCAATATTTCATTTTTTAAGTTGTTAATTTTTTAAAACAATTATTTTATCATTTATTTAATGATACGTAATGTATTAATCCGTGTATCTCTCCTTCCCTCCAATTCATTCTTCTTAAAACGATTATAATTAAGTCACGTAAACATTTTGTGTGACTTTTTTTTACAAAGAGAAAAAAGTAAAATGAAAGAGAAATGGAGGGGAATGACGAGAATTTAGAAGATAAAGAATCTTACTCAGAGAGACTGACGTTATTATTTTCACAGTTTTTTGCCCCTTTACTACTTTTTAAGTCTTATGAAATACACACTTCTCTGCCTTACTTTTTTTTTTTGTCTCAGTTTCAACATAAATTTTGATTTGTCTGCTACTTTAAAAATTGCATAGGGCTTTTCGTTAAGTTCTCTATTAAGTGATTACGTGTATAATTTTGGCCCACCACATGTGTCAAGAATTAGCACTAGACACACTGACTTAGATTTACAAGTGAATCTCTCCTATACGTGAGGAATTTAGTGGGCCAAAGTTATGTCACTTATTACTACAGTCTAGTGGTATTCCTCTCCACTTGTAAGAGGTCTTAGGTTCGATTCTTACCAAAGTAGAATTTGAACCATATTATTGTCAGCTCATTGTGAGGCTAAGCTCACTAGGGGTGGGTTCAAAAAACCGAAAACCGAAAAAAATCGAAAACCAAACCGGACCGAGGCCGAAAAAAACCGAACCGAAAAAAAACCGAACCGAAACTGTCAAACCGAACCGAACCGAATCTGGTCAGTTCGGTTTCGGTTTTTGAGGTTCGAAAACCGAACCAAACCGAACCGAACCGAATTATATATATTTAATTATTTTTTTCAATATTATAAATAGTTTATTCATACAATCATAACAAAACAAAACCTGTTGCCAAGTTGGTTTCAGGGAAAATTTTCAAGTTGCAGCGCAAGGGTTCGAACCCTCATGCCTCCAACATTTCAGAAACGTTTTTAATTTTTTTGAGAAATCCCCTTTAAGTTAACCCTAGCAGCCACACCTTTTATTCATTCCCCTCTTCTCTCTCTCGTTCCCTTCCCTGCCTCCAGTGTAACCCTAACTAACCCAGTAACATTCTCGCGCAGCCGAGCCTCTTCTCTGTCTTTCTCAAACTCTCTGTCTCTCTTGGTCTTGAATCCCAGGCGACCCGCGACGGCGTGACCCTTCTCACTCTCAATCTCTCACAGTGAAGCAGCTTCTGGTGGAGAAGCTGGCAGCGAGACGGAAACTGAAGTTCAAGATATACCTCCTCTGCAAATTGTAATGCTTATCGTCGGCACACGAGGAGATGTGCAGCCGTTTGTTGCCATTGGAAAGCGATTGCAGGTCTCGCATTTATGTGCTTTTAGCTATATAGAACTTAACAGTGAAATGCTTCATAATTTTGTGTGTAACTGATTGGGAATGTTGACATCAATTGTGAGATAATTGTTTATCTTTCGCTGGATATATGCTCGTGCTCGGTTTTGCTTAGTGTTCTCTGCTGGTGATTAATTTTATGACAAAAATTGATTTTGTTTCGGTGAAATTTTAGTTGCTTTGTTTGTGCCTGTTAGTCACATCCATTTTACTTCTAACGCTCTTTGTGTGCGTGTATTTATGCATAAAGATATAATTCAATCAGAGTACATTGAGAATTTTACCTTTTGTGATGGAAATTTTAGAGGCGATGAGTGAAAATAAAATATAGCTCTTCTTGGGAAGCTTATCCCGGACTTTATGTGAATTGACAAATGTGTTTACTTGCAGGAATATGGCCATAGGGTTAGGCTAGCAACTCATGCAAATTTCAAAGATTTTGTCCTTACTGCTGGGTTGGAGTTCTATCCTTTAGGTGGAGATCCAAAGGTTCTTGCTGGTTGTAAGTTCAGAATTTGTTTCTTTTTCATGCCCTGCATACAATAATGATGAGTCTTTGGTCTGTTTATTCCATCATTTGTTAATTTCTGAAATTATTACTTTGCATAAAGTTTAGTTAATGTAACCGCTACCTTGTTCCACGTTTCAAACTTATTTTAGCATTGAAGTTTTAATTTTCATGTACCTTATTCTGCTTGCTTGAATCGTTAGGAAATAATCTTGGAAATTTAACATTGAAGATTCTGGCCCATTTGTCTGTGTGTTCCTTAAAAAACACACATATGTGAACATGCCTGTCTTATTTATTGGATTTGTATTGATGTAGTGCTTTTGTTTTTTACAGATATGGTCAAGAATAAAGGTTTTTTGCCATCAGGACCTTCGGAAATTCGCCGTGTGCTTCGGCGACCTCGAACAAGTGAAGGCGATGATCCTGATCCAAGTGGAGCTCACCAACATGGACCTCAAATCCATCTCCTCCAGGTCCTTGCCCGACCCGCATACCCTCCGAAAGTCCTCTCACCTCCTCGGCCCCAAAGTCCTCCAGGTATTGACTCCTCTCCGTAATTTCTCTCGTGAATTTTATGGTGGGTGCTGAAATGGATTGCTGTGATTCAACTGATGATGGAAGGAGGTTTTATGTGGAATTAAAGACAAGCCATGAGGTTGAGATCTGTTTTTCTTCACTTTCCATTACATGCAAATTTTTTCTTCTCTGAGTTTCTTATGTAACTGACTGTAATTTCTCATTCAATTGTGCAGTTGGACAACCATAAGATAGAGTACGAGTTTGAGAAAGAAAAGCTCCTCAAATTTTGGGTACATTACTGTTTTAAAGACAAGCCATGAGGTTGAGATCTGTTTTTCTTCAATAGCTTTTGTTAGAGATTGACATGCATAGTTTAAATCATTTCGATAGTAAATAAATGAGTAGAAGTCAGTTTGAAAAGAAAATAAACTTTGCGAAATTTTGTAGCATTTAAATGGTGATGTAAAGCAATGATGTATAACTAGTTAAGATGGCAGATAAAAGCTTAAGTTGGTGGATATGAAAATAGTTCAATTGGTGGAAGATTGTTCAAGGTAAGAGTCTGTAGTCTCTGCATTTCTTAATAATTGAATAGAATGTGAACATTCAAAGTTCTAATACACATTTGTTTCACAATTGTATAGGACTCTCTATTGACGAGTTCTCGAGGAAGAAGTTGGATGCAACTGCAGAGGAGCTCAGTGAGGAGAAAGCTTTGGCATACTCTTGCCTCTCTTAGATGCTCTTGGCCTTTCCTTGGTGTGGTTGTAAGTTGGCCTCCCTGCAATGTGTGAGAAAAGCAGCTGAAGTTTTGAATAATGCCATTGTTAAGATAGATATGTTAATGATGCAGAAGCTGCTTCTGTGGGTTTTACAGTTGTTGAGCCCAATATTCTATTCGGACACTTCGAATTTTTTCTTCTTTTAGTTGCATATTTGAATGGGATTGTCCCATTGACGTAAAATAATCCATATCTGCCTTGATTCTAATTTGTTAGTTCTTGTGCTTATGTTGATTTCCAAGACTTTCTTGGAGGAAAAAAAAAAAAAAAAAAAACCGAAAAAAACCGAACCCGAACCGAAAAAACCGAACCGAAAAAAAAACCGAACCGAAAAAAATATGGGCCAAACCGAACCGAACCGAAATTTCGGTTTGGTTTTGGTTTTGGCAAAAAACCGAACCGATAAGAACCGAACCCAGCCCTAAAGCTCACCCTCTCCCTCTTAGTGTATATAATATCGTTGTTAAAAAAAAAGTTATGACACGTTATTACTTAATAAAGAACTTGATGGAAAGCCTCAATGAAGTATTAAAGTATCACAAAATCAAAATTTAGATATAAATTGAGGCGAAAAAAAATTAGGAGATTTTAACGAAACACTTCGGATACTGTTTACTTTTAACAAAAAAAATATTTTTATTCTAAAAAGTCACTCATGGTACTATTTACTTACAACACATTTTTGTTATTTTGATTAAAACTCAAAGTTTTCAAGCCATTTTCATTAATTTTCCTAAAAAATTAAGGATAGCAAAGTACAAATTTCATGATACTTGAGGGTTACAAAGTAAGAATTACTTTTTTTTTTGTTTTGTTTTTTTTTTTTTTGTGAATCGGAGTATTTATTTATTCACACTATTGGAAAAAATATAATGATATTTTCTCTGTTAATTTGTCTTAATATATTTGTTACTTCCTAGTAAAAACAAAAGCAATGACGTTTTAACAGTGATTCTAATTTTCTTTTTCGTATAAAATCTTAATTTAATTTGTTTATTTCTTGTTTGGTTTTGAAATACAACTATATATTTAAACCACATACTAATCATTAACGAAAAAATATTACTAAATTGTTGTGTTAGTGACAATCTAGTTTGTTTAGTTTAATCCCCGATTTGATGATTTCTATGTTTGCAGGAGTCTTATTATGCACAAAAACTCTCACAAAACTATTAGGCAATTTGGCACTAGTCCTATCACCTCATTAGAGGTATATGATTTTGATATGATCAGCCGTTATTGTGCTAGCGGTATTTCTCTTCTTGAATTCGGAAGATGACTAACATTTGAATCCCTTTTGCTCGTTGATAAAAGAAAAATGATCTTGACATGGAAAAACGAATCGTATCACGTCCAAATAATATATACGGATGACGTGAGGAGAAGTATCTTGTATCAAGCTATAACTAAAGTGGGACATACATTAGTAGAAAGGTTTTAGGACCTTTCTTTAACATGTACTATTACACTAAGAGCTAGTTGATTATATCTTCGTTCATATTGCTCGTTTGATTTTGATTGGATTATGTTGCTTAAGATGGTTTGCAATTTGTCTTTATAAAAAAATGGGAATAATCATCGTCAATCAAACATGTCCATATCAATGGATCACATTGTAATGACATGGTATCACAATTATCTAGATGTCTAGATACAATATCTAACTCATATTGGAAAAATATATATAACAACTATATTATTTATGCAATATCAACATTATATCACAATGAAACATCAATGTTTCGATGCTGTATTAACACCGTCAACAAACTATATACACAACGCATCACTCCTGTATCAACACAATATCTACATCTTCTATGTCACATTATCTTTTAACATGCTTAATAAAGTAACATCTTACTAATTAATCCTTGGACATTACTATAGATTCGACAAATGATAAACATAGAAGAAATCCAGATCTAACAATGGTGAAGGACGAAATCTGATGCCGGAAATTCGATATAAATGTGGTGTTGAATATAGAGACATACTGGATGTCGGAAATTCATATATAACAATGGTGAAAGACAAAATCGCTACGAGATGATGTATTGGATTTCCATCCATACGTCCTAGATTTAAAACTCACATATCTTTCCTAAATTATTATGTTAACTAGTTTCGAATTCTCCATCTACTATTAATAATAATAATTTTAAAAAAAATTCTGTGGAACACTGTTGATGAACAGTGAAAGTAACAGTGATCTGACGAAATTGCCCCCTTCTTAGTCTGTTTAATTTCAATTACACCATGTTTTACACGTGTTTGTCATCGGTGAAATGGAAGCAGGCTGAAAAATCTGGGGTGTTCCACCTGCTTCCTTGCTCTTCTTTTCCTTTTCTGGACTCTTCTTTTCCATCGACTTCTCTGTCACTATCTCGCAACCAACTACAATACCGATTCACCCTCCATTTCTCCCGCTTAGCAAAAGAAAATCAAAGGGGTTCACCTCCTTGGGTTCCGTAAGATGCTGGAAGCATCTTTCGTTTCTCTCTTTCTTCTTCTTTTCTTCCACCTCTTCGTTCGCCGAAGCAACTAAAAATAAAAAACCTACTCGCGGCTTCTTCCTCCCGATTTCGGAGCTTCTCTCTCTTCCACTCTCTCTCTCTCTCTCCCCCCTCCATTGAAGCACCTCCATACACAGGTATCGTTTCTCCCGTAATTATATATATTTAATTATTTGAAAGTTAGTTCTTCTGTGTAAAATTCTTGAGCTTTTGATTACCTGTAATTTTCAATTTTCTACGATATAGGATTTTTGGATAATTTCATGATTTAGCGATCCTACTAATGATATATCAAGTAGAATCAATATGAGGAATAGATTCTTCAATTTCGTAGCTTCCAAGCCTAGACAAGAGATTTTTTGCGTTTATTTATGTCTGATTTGCACCGATTTTGGTCCTACATATTTTTGATTTTGTTTTCCGTTTGAGCATCGGTTGTTTTTGCATCGCTGGGAAGTTAATTTTCTACAACTGAGGTATGTTTTCTAACTGCTGTGTTTTGATTAATTTTGGATGGAATTGTAACCGTTTGGTTTTGGGTTGGCTCTGTTCCTGTGCTAGAGTTTTCCTGGCTAAGAGGATATTTTACGGTTTGGTTCCTTGCTTGGTCAATCTCAGATTTACCGACGGTTCCGGCGGTCCTGTTATTTTTTGGGTAAGTTTTTTCTCTTTTTGATTTTTCCCGATTTGACAACTCCTTGGTTGGTGTTAGATTAAAATGTGTGTGATTTTTTCGAAAAATTATTGGTGAGATGGATTGACAAGATTCTTGAGTGAAAAACAGGCTTTTTAGTGCGGTTAAACAGAAATATAGAGCTTTATTGTAAGAAAGTTATGGACGATTTAATCAAATTAATTGTACTGATAGAGATATGAATGAGCCTAATGTTTATTCTTTTCACTCAAACATCATTATACCATTACAGAAAATCAGGAATTTGAACATCAGCTTGCGACTTCGTCGTCGATTTGAACGCCACCAGCTTCGATGCAGTCCTTGGAGACACCCCTGCCTCCTCTGCCATAGTCGAATTCTTTGCTGACTGGTCAGCTTTTCTAATTTCTATGTAAACCATTGATTTTATTTGCGAAATAAATGAAACCCCTTATGTTTTTGCTTAAAGTATTGATCTTTGAGTGTTGCTCGGTAGATATTAGATTGATTGGAGGCTACCCATTTGAAAAAGAAGTGAGATCACATGGATGATGGATCATGTGAGGTTCTCCAATTATTTGAGATCAAATGGAAATATTTAAGTTGTCATAACTAAAATGATCTGAAAGCTTATTGAGAATTGTTGTAATTTGCTTTTCATTGTAGCGTTACTTTCTTAAACTGATTAGAGCTAAAGATTGCTAATTCCTTAGCATTCAGTGCATATGCTTATTAATGTCTGTTTGTTATCGTAGAGGCATATGGTGGTTTAGTTGCACCCTGCACAGGTGCAGCTCAAGGCTGACCCTAAATTGTTCCTCCTGAAATGATGTTGTGCTTATTTGTAAATTTTGCTGCTCATCTGCAACTCACCTTTTGTCTCTTGATATCTTTTACAGGTGCAAAACGCCATAGAGTATTTAAACATCATCGGGGCCTTGGATGAAAATGAGAATCTGACTGTTTTAGGTGGGGAGAGATTTATTATTCTTTTAATATTTCAATTATGCATTGTGATGCTTACAACTCTTTGTAATGGTTGTGAGTTTAAATTTGAAAATAATTAGCCTAATGCAGTTTAAATCACTTGATAGTTTAAATGCAGGTTGTTATATAGAGATTAGGATTTAGGTTTTCCAGTTCAATCAAAGCTAATTAAACCGAATCATGAATTAATTAAATGTGGTGTCTTCCTTTCTCCTCTGTTTCTTTTGTTGTTGGGTGAAAGTGAGCATGGGTTTATGATAACCTATTTAAAAGGAAAGCTGGAGAGAGAGAGGGTAATAAAGTAGGTGCATATAGGGAGTCAAAGGTTAAGGCATACTGATGCACAGATTAGTATGGTAAAAATGAAAAAAAATGAAAAGAAAGTGAACCCAATAGAATATAGAAAATGAAGTGTTCATCCAATGGAAGAACCCATATGTGGTGTTTTATTTTTAGACAAGATGAGAAGATGTAAACAGTTGGAGGTCCATACCATTTTCCAAGTTCTTTATTAATGTGAATGTTTATGTTATTCTGATTAGGAACTTAAGTGAATAAATCACTTTTGAATTTGTAAACAAATAATTGCTTACAAAATAATTAACTTTGTTAAACAAAAATAATTGCTTACAGTAGAGAATAACTGTAAACATTATTGAAATATATATTTAAATATTTTTAATTTATATAAATAGATAGGTTGCTATTGCATTGTGTGCCTAAATCAAATCACTAACTTGAACCATGCTCTTTATTTGGGAACTGTGTATTTCTTATTTGAATTAGTATGGTTTGTTTTTCAAATTTGATTTTGTGTGATTTCATTTTGATAGATATTTCAGAATTTCAGAAAGCAGGTGCGGTTTGATCAATTAAGGCCAACCTGATTTACAGGGGTCTGATTAGTGGTACACTACTAATTACCTCACTTTTCTCCCAAAAGTATGCTGCTTTTTCCAAAAGGAAAATATTAGCTTGGTTTGATCTCTTATTTGAATTGTGTAGATTTGGTTTGATCTCTTAATTTGTGTTGTGCAAATTTTGTATGAATTAATTTGGGTTGGGCAGAGGAAGCAAATATTTTTTTAAATTAATAAATTTAGTTTGGTTTATACATATGCTAATGAATATTATTTACCGAAGCATGAACAAGTCAAGAAACTGTTTGTTTCAAACTATTCATTACAACTTTGCACCAACTGTTTTGGTTATGCCTAATAGTTTTAAAACCCGCTGCGCGGGCTCCTTTACTAGTATGGACTAAAAGCCAACAGGTGAGAATTAATGGTATCATTTCTTTTGGAAGTTTATATAGTCACGTGATATGACCTTACACGCCATATTTGCCATGGTTTTTGTTATACATTTTGTTTCCCACAATTCTGTTATTTTCTATGAAATGACAAATCGGTTCTGAATCTAAATTCTGCTTTGAAGCCACTCAATCATACAGGTGCTATATATATATATATATATATATATATATATATATATATATATATATATATATATATATATATATATAATGTATTGTCATATGTCAATGTCACAATTGTAAATTGGTGCTTCAAATCTTTCATGGGTAAATCATTAAAATGGTCATTGAGATTTGCATAATTCATCACTTTGATCATTGAGATTCCAAATCAATAAAAGTGATCCTTGAGATTGTCCACCATCCATCATTTTGGTCATTCCGTTAAAAATTCCTTTAAGTGTCCTGGAGCTTTTGACAGGAAGTTTGGATAATTTTCAAAGCATCATAACTCAATCGTTTCTTAACTAAATTCGATCCATAATATATCAAAATGAAGATAGGAAAGTGTAAAATAAGATTATACCTATTTTAAAGCCCAATGGTTGCTGGAGATGGCTGGAAAATAGCTTCAAAGTTGACTGGTCCGAGTGAAAACTTGAAAACTCGTCGAAAAGTGGGTAAACTTTAAACGTTCATAACTTCTTTAATACTCAACAAAATCAAGTGATTCAAAAACAAAAATCATACTTCTCGACGAGATGAAGACTAGATGAAGAGAATGATACCTTTTTCGATGACTAACATGTCTTGGTTTAGCTGGAAAATGGTTCGAAAATGGTTAACTCGAGACCAAGATAGCCACTTTTTTAACTGTCAAAAAAGGTACCGTTCTTTTTTTCTCGTTGATAAGTATGATTTTCGTTTTTGAATTACTTGATTTTGTTGAGTATTGAAGAAGTTATGAACGTTTAAAGTTTACCCAGTTTTCGGTGAGTTTTCAAGTTTTCAGTCAACTTTGAGGCTATTTTCCGGCAATCTCCGGCAACCATTGGGCTTTGAAATATGTATAATCTTATTCTACAATTTCCTATCTTCATTTTGATATATTATGGGTCAAATTTGGTTAAGAAACGATTGAGTTACGAAGCTTTGAAAATTGTTTAAGCTTTTGGCCAAGAGCTCTGGAACATTTAACGGATGGATGGTGGACAATCTCAATGACCAAAGTGATGAGTTATGCAAATCTCAGGAACCATTTTGACGATTTACCCATCTTTCATATTGGGCTGCTATATCATTCAGAGAGTATCCTTTCTTTCCCGTTTCATGACACGAATCTTTCACATTTACTTTGAATTGGATATTATGATTGAAGAGTAAATAGATGTGATTTCATATTTTAATCTCAGCTCCGGTAATCAAATTCACAGGTATATGACCGCACGCATTCTCGTTTGATAAGCAGAATTGGGTTGAGATGGATAACTCCATATTTTTAAGGTATATTGAATATAAAAGTGAATGACTTTTCATTTGAGGGGGATTGGAAGAGGATTAAACATGAAAGAAAACTTTTACTTTTAGGAGAGGATTGGAATGGGGGAGTTTTCTTCGAGTGTAATCCATCTTCTACCATCTAGTTAGTCATAAATTTTCATTTCTCACACCTCAAGAGACCTTGAAATTAGAGAGAGATCATTTTCAATCCAATCCCCATACTAAACGAGCCTCAAAATTATTATAGAACCTAAGTTTACGCGAAAGACCTTTTTTATAAAACGAGTGTAAGTATTTCTCCATCAGTCGATATGCTTATTTTATAGCACATGACCTTCGAAAGCTGTCTGCGGTTAGAAACAAGTATGTTATATTGGCAGTCGGAGGAAACATAAGTCCTCGCGTATACGTTAGGAGTCTCTTACAAAAATAATGGTGCCACTTCTTTCTTGTAGCTAAAGTAAGCTAACTTACGTTGTAATCATTCCGAAAAGAGCGACTTCCATTAAACGTGATGTATACCCCATTCTTCTAATCTCTCTACCTTGGTGTAGGCAAGTTTTTCTTCATTCCGACGGTTTCGTTAGTATCTCATTAACATAAATATCTTATATTATCAGACAGTTGGACAGCAACAGATCATTTATTATCACCATGTGGGAAATCTGCAAAATGATAAGCTTACTATAAACTTTCAGATGACTTTTGTCTGCGCAGTTCCGTCACCATCCTTGGAACCGAATGCTAACCCCGGGCTAGGATAACATTCAAAAGTGACCCACAAATATACATAAAACCCATCAAAATAAATTCGCTTAAACCGCCATTCTCCAAGTATTTCAGCTCCTTCTCAAGCTTCTTCCCACCAGGCAGTACGTAAATGATCTTCTTGAAGAGCTCGACACACTTAGCAGCAAGGCGGGAGGCTTGGCAGTCACGAAACGGGGCGTTTTTATTTGTAATCTGGCCAAGTTGGTTCATGTTGGTAACCTGAGATCGATGTAATAAAAGGAAAATGAAATACACAGAACGATACAGAGAGGATTAACATGGATATTCTGCACAAAGATGACACGTATAAATCGAGAAATACAGACCCTTTTTTTTTGTTTTTGAGTACATCAATATTTTTACACTAAGAGGAGGGGGAGTTCGGCTAAGCCACACAACGGACAGCCTAATTTGGTATCAAATTCGCCATCTACGAGATTCGAACTTAAGACATCTCGCTTCCGAGTGAAGAGGAATACCAATAGACCGTAGTACTGAGTGGTGAGAAATACAGACTTAAAGCCTGCTTTACAGCAACAAAAGATGAAATAAACGAGTCCATTTCACAACACAGCTTTTGCTTCCTCCACACTATCCTTGAAGCAAATGGGATGCGATGGCCCAAATACCTTCGAAACAAAACCACACTAAAAATTCGGCAAACATTTCAGCGATCCAGCGATCCTCGTTCGAGAGCTTAGGCCCCTTGTCAAGCTTCTTAACGGACACAGAGCTACCAACCACCTTTGTGAAGACCTCACCACACTTAGCAGCAAGGTGGGGGATTTGGCAGGCAAGAAATAGAGCAAGCCAATTATTTCTAAGCTGGGCAGCGTGGGTGATGACTATGACCTGAGATCCAAGTAAACAGAAAAATGAAACGTACGTAGATTATTTTGGCGAGCTGAGTTTCGATTTCATGTGTTATGGTGACGATGGGGATGGTCGTCACCTTGGGTGGGGAATATACAAGGAAATGTCTACATCCTTAGGTGTACGAAGTCAACTCTCATTAGGAACAAAATAACGAGGAAAAAAAAAATAAGCGGACATGTACTAGGGTGTGGGAAGGAATAACTGCGTGTAAGGAGCCGAGCATTTTTCATTAGGCGGGAGGAGGCGTGGCGGGAAAGGGAGGAGAGGGGAATGAAAGAAGGTGGAATTTTTCTTTCCCTAACTCGATACAGAATTCAGATACTCGAAACAAAACCGAAGCTGTTAGTGAAACACGGATACATCAAGGGGCGCTTGACTGAGAAACTAGGACTCGATTGGGCTATTTAACACCAACCTCAGTATGAACCAAACATGGAGTTCATTAACATGGAGTCCATGCATCAAAAGTTCCCTTATAGTACTTCCATGGACCCTAAGATTCCGATCCTATGTTTTGTTCAGTACTTATGGACATTGTTTGTGATTATACATTACCTTAAACAAAGAAACAGTTTTCCTCCTAAACAATGGTCTTCACCTGGATTGATTGGAATGCCATCGGAGTAGCGCGGGAAGGAGTGACATCCGAGACCACCAAGACCCAATCTCCTTGTTTCACCAATCCCTTTGATTTTATGAGATGGATGGTGCTTGAGATGTTAGACTCCATATCATCCGATAGATTAACAAGAAGAGGGATCACTCCCCACTGCAAATTCAGAGCCATACGGGTGCTTTCATCGTTTGTGAAAGCAAATATGGGAGGGTTTGGTCTGTTTCGTGACAAGAGCGATGCCATGTGCCCATGCTTGGTGTAAACAAAGATTGCATCCACAGCAAGGCTGTTAGCTGCACATGCAGAAAAAAGTTGATTAATTGTAACTTACGGGAACAATACATACTATTTAGACTCTGAAAAATTTCTTTGATTGGTTTCTAATTTCATAGATTCAAGCGAACATCATTTGTATTTTTTTCCGGGATCCTGCCCTTATTATTTCTCTGCTTCAACACTCAATTACAGATACAATTCTGACAAGTTTGTATGAAGTTTTTATTAAGGTAAACCAGCATAGCATCAAATCTTCCAATGTTCTTCAGCAGGACTGTTAATTTATTATAAACTTAAGTCGCACATTAGCCGATTTTCAAAAGAGACTTAAATCGAAAAAAAAGAGAGGATGTGGTAAAAGTGAAAGTACCCATTTCAACAGCTGAATTGCATATCTGCTCAGCAATGCGGTCAGGCAACGAGACTCCTAGTTGGCGCTGAAGGAGAGAACCTTGCTGGTTTTCCACACGACTCCATGTTTCCATTCTACTACTGGTCGTTTGAAGAACAGAAAGAGCCTTCTCTCCAAATAATCCAATTGCTGATTCCCCGGCCAACATCAATGCATCTGCATATTGTCGAACAGCTTCAGAAACATCTGCAACCTTTTGAGAAGTAGCCATCATAATGTGATTAATTTTCTCTCTTGCTGCTCCCCATGCAACAGCAATAATCATCATAATTACAATAGTTCTAGGAGATGCTAATCGTACCTCAGCACGCGTTGGAGTTGGGTATTCAATCATTGACTCAAGAAACTGAGAAGCTACAATTACCGGCTTGTTTAACTGCCTGGAGACATTGGTTATTTCCTCTTGGACTGTTGGAATCTGTTCAAGTGGGATCTCAACTCCAAGGTCAACTCGCGCAATCATGATTCCATCAGAAGCCTTTATAATTTCTTCCAAATTCTGAAGGGCTTCCAAACTCTCAATCTTTGCCAAAACTCTTGTGGATCTGCAAAGGGAGACCTCAGTAGTTTTCATATTTGGAGTTCCAAAGGATAATAGCAAGAGGTAATGATATAATTAGTGGCTTCTAAAAAGCATGGTAAGGATTTATATCTGATTGAAAGACTGCTTGACTCAAATCGTAAATGCTTGAGAATCTGATGCCAAATATCATATTGTTAAAAGAATCCATCACATTATGCAAGGAATAAAATTTCCGACGAAATATAAAATGTTGAACCATAACTGTCTACTGCCTTACTTGGCTGATTTGGTGATGAGGTAATTCTTCAAATGCTTCACAGATTCAGCGTCATTTACAAATGACATGGCAATAAAATTGACGCCTTCAGAGATTCCGAATTCAATGTCAGACCAATCCTGCGAAACAAAATGAACATGAGCATCAAAATGTATTATAGACGAACTTAAAAGCAAAATTTACTTTCACTAAGAAAAGCCAGACAATTCAAAAAAGAAAATGTAAGAAGATTGTACAGATATTGACCTTAGTAGACAGAGTTGGGAGGTCATAGTTCCTCTCCACAAGCTTCCCATCTCTCCAAAAGCTGAATTTGGCTCGAGGCAGGAATAGACCGGGGTCTGTGCACTTACAACGCAGGTCGCTTCCTAATTTTTCAATGACTTCAAAGCATGCCATTCCTCCATCAATAACAAGCTCATCACCCTCTTTGATACCTGCCAAAAAAATTACATGGAAATCATCAATGCAAAATGCACCTTCCACTCCAATAAAACTGCCAATAATACATTGCAGTTTCGTCACTTACCATCAGAAAAACCTTCATAATTTGCTTGTACTGTGAATGGAAGCGAACCCTCAAATTTTTCAGTGGTAAATAGCCAGATTGAATCCTCCTGATAATCCAACAAAAATACAATTCAATCAAATTAACCTTTTTTTTTTCCCTTCGGATAAAATTCATGAATGGGCAACTCTCCTAACCTGAACTTTAAGAGACGATGGAGCTCCATGATCAACAACATGAATCTGAGTACCTTCGGTATCGATCATAACAGAAACAGAAAACCCCTTCTCCTCATTCAACCTCTTGATCTTCCTAATGACGTCGCGGTGCCACTCCCGCGTGTTGTGACACATATTCAGCCTTGCCACATTCATCCCTCCCAAAACCAACTTCTCCAAATCCTCCACAGAAGAACACGCCGGCCCAATTGTGCACACAAGTTTGGTCTTCCTCAACCCCAAAAACCCCTTCTCCCTCAACTCCCTCTCCGACACCACATCAAGATCCAAACTCTTAAAACTTTTCAAACTCTCTGCCGCCGCCAAACCCACTTGCACCGCCTGCACTCCACCACCACCAATTTTCCTTTTCAATTCCTTCCCAATACAGGACACCCCATGGTGCAAAACGGGCACACCAAAAACAGTTTTCTGTAAATTGGCACTTGGGTTATTGGCTTTGACACCAAAACACGTATGGATCGAATGGTCCGCGACCGCCATGGATTCGACGAATTTGAAGTGAACTTTCTTGATCAAATACCAGAAAGAAAGAACAAGATAAGAAGAAAGACTGAATTTTTGTGAGTAATGGAATAAAGGGTATTCAAAGAACTAAGTTTTGTAGATGAATATTGGGGTTTCTTGGATCGAAAACTCCGTCGAGGATTGGACTTTGTTCGGATATTACAAGAAGAATAGGAGGCAGAGGAGTTAGACTTCAATGCTTCACAGTGTGTAAGAATATTCGTCAACAAAGAGGAGAACGAAAAAAAACATAGAGTGTTTTTTTGTTTTTTTTGGAACAAACGATGAGGTAAGTTTAGTTTCACAATAGGCTAATAATAAAAAATTAAAAAGATAAGAAAATTTGTTAACTGACAGTTGTCAGAAAATGTGCCAGTAGTGGTGGCAGTGGTAGCTATAGTCGGAAGAAAATGTGCTAGTAGTTGTGGCCTCGTTACTACCGCCGCAGCCGTCGCCATCACGGTATGTGGTGGTGAAAAAAAAATTTAATGTACCAAAAATACTGTCTCATACGTAAATGTAATAATGTAATTAAAATTTGGACAAAAAATAAATAACCTTAAATTCAAAACCTAACATTATATTTGCATATGACGTTTTACTATAATAATGGAAAACATTTAAATCTCTGCATTTTGGTACATGTTCGATCTCACCAACTTTCTTTTCCTTTAACAATTAACTTCTAACTTACTAGTGCTTTTGCTCAGGTCAAAGAAAAACCAAACACCTCTGACAAAAACAGAAAGAAAAGGAAAAAAAAAAAAAAACCTAACACTATATTTAATGCATGCGAATCTATCTCTTTTGTCCACAATTTAAATTTATTTCTCTCATTTTAGGTTTTGAATTTTGAGGCATTGAATGTTTGAACAGTGGGGACCGAATGGAAAGGAGGTAGGTCCGAATTTTAACGGTCAACTACCCCTTCCGGACGGGGTAGGGGAACCGGGGACACGTGAGTTTTGAATTTTTGAATGTGTACATATTTTGCAGACATTAGAGAACAGCTGTGTTTAGATCATGGTGGTCCTAAAGCACGAGAGATGTAGAGAGTAGGAATCTCACAGTCAGTAGAGAAAAAAATATTGTATGCTCT